TCTTTTAGATTTATAAGTTTTCTAAAGGGGTTCAATTTTTACAGGCGAGTTCTTTAGACAATTTTTGAGGTCTTATGAAAATTTTATTGGAATCGGTTCAAATTTTTGCGAGGCACATAAAGAATAGTACCGCCACTAGCCTTCAAAATTAGTCAAAAATAGTCCAAATTTGTGTTCCGATTATTAAAATATATAGTATGATTTATAAATGGTGCAAATTTGAGCTATTTTCGTGCGCTACTACGAGTGTTGTGTTAATTTTTTTGATTTTGAATTTTTTTGACAAGCTCTAGAAATCCAAAAAAAAAAAATTTGTTTAATTGTTTTTTTTTGTTAGTACCAGACAGGCATTTAGGCAGTTTTTAATGCTCTTTGAAAATTTCAGACAAATTGGGTCGGATTTGCCCGAGTTATAATAGTATCAATCTTAGCACCTAAACTAGCCCTCAAAATTTAACAAAATAGTGAATTTTATTTTATGTTTTTTAGACTTATAAGTTACTGAAAGGGGTCCAATTTTTACAGGAGGGTTCTTTATACAGTTTTAAAGGTCTTGTGAAAATTTTATTAGAATCGGTTCAAATTTAGGTGAGTTACAGGATCATAAAGAATACACCGCAACTAGCATTCAAAAGTTGTCAAAAATAGGCCATTGTGATTTTTTTTTAAATAAATTAGTGTCCCGATTATTAAAATATGTACCATGATCTTTAAATGGTGCAAATTTAAACTATTTTCGTGCACTACTAATAGTGTTGTGTTAATTTTTTTGATTTTGAAATTTTTTGACAAATTATGAATACAAAAAAAAATTTATTGTTTTTTTTGGTAGTACCACGTAGGTACTTAGGCAATTTTTTAAGATTCTCTGAGAATTTCAGACAAATCAGACAAATTGGATCGGATTTGCTCGAGTTATAATAGTACCAATTTTAGCACCTAAACTAGCCCTCAAAATTTAAAAAGGGATTTTTTTTTAAACTTATAAGTTACTCAAACGGTTAAAATTTTTACATGCAGGTTCTTCAGACAGTTTTTAAGGTCCTGTGAAAATTTCATTTAAATCGGTTCAAAGGCCTTATTACAGGAGTACCAAATCTAGGCCTAAAAAATGGCCATTTTGATCTTTTAAAAATAAACTTGTGTCCGGATTATTAAAATACATAAATTGTGCAAATTTGAACAATTGTAGTTTGCTACTAGGCCGTTGTGTTGATTTTTTCATTCTGAAAATTTTTGGCTAATTTAAGTTTTGAGGGTTTGAATTTCATTCAAACTTATTTTCGAGGGTATTTTTTGAACATTTTGGTTACAAATAGTCCAGAATTTAGCACCTTTGACTAGTACCCAAATAAGTCAAAATAAGTCTAAAACAGCAATTTGAAAACCTGAAAAATTAACTTTGGATTAGATACTGACAAAAATCAATAACATTTATAAGAAATTTATTGATTTTGGAACATAATTTGTGGATGATATACTAAAAAAATCTTAACTAGCATTCAAAAAAGTCAAAAATTGGTCTAAAACACGAATTTGGAATCCTAAAATGCTAATTTGTGATCTGGTTCTTGAAAATAACAATAAAATTTATAACCGGTAATGATTTTATTGAGTTTGAGACAATATTAGGGATAAAATTTTTAAATTTCGGGTTCTAGTAAATAAAAAAATTTTTTTTGGCTTTTTGGTTTTGAAAAATCGGTTTATTTTCTAGAATTATAGTATTTAGCTTTTTTATGAACCTTCCTAAAAATTTTATTTCAGTTGGTTCAGATTTACTCGATCCTCAAATTTGGCACCACAACTGACACTTAAAATTATCAAAAATGAGTCTAAACTAGTCTCAAAATTTGGAAATTTATTAAAAAAAAAATATTTTTTGTAGATCCCTCTCATTTTTCGATCTAAAATAAACAAAAATAATTTATTGTGTTTTTAGGACTTGAAATAATTTTTTTGTAAAATTCCCTCGATTTGTGTCAGAGAAACTGCAATTTTTTGAAAATAATCGCAACGCATAAATAAGTTTCTCCATACACCTGTACCTAAAAAACGCAAAATCATTTATTTGTCTAATCTGGAATGAAAGTTACGATTCCCAACCGCGCAAATTAAGTAATTAATTTAATCTCAATTTAATTAGCAGCCATCTCAAATTTAATTATGTAACATTTTTATCTCTTTTTTTCTTTCACGCTGTGTGATCAATACCAAACACAATACCAAAAAAGTGCCTCGGATGTGTCACAATCGATCGAAAAAGCGATACTCGGCTACCGGTAGCACAATGTGAACGCAACGATGAAAGCTAAGATGAGCAACTTTCCCCTTCATTTAATTATTATTTAAATAAAATGCTCATTCTTCGCATGGGATTTCCGCGCTTATCACAATTCAATCGATTTTTTTTTACATAAGCTTTGTTACATTTACGTAAGTTCAACTTTGAACTATGACTTGGTGGTTGGAAGCGGCCACGATATGTGCCCGATTTTGCTCCCGGTGATTTATTAGACTACGTTCACTGCAGCTGTCGTAGGTGATGCTTTCTTTGCGACCTTTAGGAAGCGAAAGTGCATCTTCAGAACAAAAAATAAGCTAATCAACTAGTTACCAGAAATGTCGATTAGAATTGAAAGTATTTATTATGTCATTTTGTTGAGGAAATTGAGGATTTTTGGAGGTTTCTCAATTTTTTTTTGTTTTGGTGTCGAATTTATTTGTATTTTACAAAAAAATAACATCGGAAGTTGATGAATTTGTAAACTGTTAGATCTAAAATTTCAGAGAAATTAGACTAAAAACACAATTTTCCAGAAGTC